TACTTTTAGAGGCTTGCAGACTAGTGTGTGGGGTGTATAGCTACGTTATGGCCATACTGGCCTATGTTGTTGGTTTCCTGAAGCTTGTGAACTGTTTGATGTATTGTATTGATATATACCTACTTTTAGTTTTGGTATAGATATCATGGTGGCCTCGACAGCCCAATCAGGACTTCTGTGCTAATTGGCTATTTATTTATATGATCTCTTGGGAGTAGCTGTTTCTTTTATAGATTAGTTGACAGGGGCGTTGCCGGCCGATGACTTAGTTTTAAGCCGAGATCTACTTGTTTGATTTCTTGATTGCGTGTGGTTGCCATGCGCTAGTAGCAAATGGTTCAGCAGGATCGGCTCGGGCTTGAGTTTTGGCATTAGGAGCCAGTTGCGCCCCTCGAGTTTGGGGCGTGACAATATGATTGCTTGAATGTACAATTGAAAAAGGGAGATTTGACAAGAGTGTAGAAATTTATTACAAAAGAATATGATGAATTTTATATCCACCAGTGAAAATGGGTTGTGATGTTCTCGTCTTGTTCACAAAGCATATAACCTTATTATCTTACAGCAACTTGATTCTCTGAGAGAGTGCTTAGGATCTTAGTGAAGTCCAACCACCAACAGGAACCCCAAAGAAATGAACTTTTGCCTTAACATCAGCCACTGCAAGAATTGCATATAGTGCAAAGAAACTTCAATGTACACCGGCTTTTTTCTGCACTATGCTTTCAATTCTACAAACCAATTCAAATTTTGTGTCAGATATGTTCCTACAGAACCACTGAAAAAGTGGGCAATGAAAAGTAAAAGCTCATTTGCTTCTGGATACGATTATACATACCTCCCTCTAAGCTGATGAACACCCTCGAGAACGTCCAGTGCTTGCTGTACCTTTGAGTTTTCTAGTTTATCTTTGTTTTCAAGTATTAAGGATGAAAATCTCAAAAAGGTGACAAGTTCTACTTCAATATCTCTTAGTTGTTGGTCTATATGCTCCAGAAACTCCTCGTATGAAGATACCCCCTTTAAACTATTGATCCTGTCGGCTTCCTTGGACATGTTCCCACTTGTTGATACCTCAAGATTTTTCAATTCATTATCAGTTTTAAGGTCTGCATTACCATCATAGGGAGCTTGCAATTCTTGACTATCATCTAATTTTATAGTTTCCAGGTCAACGTCTTCATTTTCATCTGAATTGTCTGCATTATCATCCTTTGGAGATACTATTCGGACGGGACTTGGAGCATCATCTATAGCAATCTCAAGATCTAAAGCAACATTTCCAATCAACTGCTTCTCCCTCATAGATATCGCCTGAAAATAGAAGACGTCGTGAAAAAGGAGCAAAAATATACACTCCATCCGTTTCAATTTGTTCGCCTTACTTTCCTTTTTAGTCCGTTAAAAAAAATGTCTCTTTCTTTTTTTGGTAACTCATTAATTTCAACCTTCTCCCTTATTTAATTTCCTTGATCAACCACAATAAAAAATGTTATATTTATTTTTACATCAAAAATGTTTTGTTTTTTTTCCAAATTTTTGCAGGTGAAGGAAATTTTAGACTCAATTGAACACCAAAACAAAAATTACCAGTTTAGGTCCTTGGGGACTTATGATTAGTTATACCACTGATTTGTTAAGTAGGGATAGCAATCCTCATACCCACCCTACAAAAGACTATAGCATAACAAGAATTTGGAACTTATCCCTTCAGTTTCGAAGAAAGTCTTCAAGAAGACAATAAAATAAGAAAAACAAGAAGCAGCTCCCTTCAGTCATAACAGAGTAGGTAGCCTAAAAAATTATTGCTTTACACAAAACTGCCGAATTATTCAACTCTGCGCGTAATGTGATCAGAAGTATCATTTTCTATGGTACAGATGTCATTTGATTTGCCAACATCCAGTAAACTAAAGAAATACCCCTCTCTGAAAAATTAATGAATAATTCTCCTTTGATTACTCAGTCGAGCCGTTACAAGAGATGAATTTGTGTACTTAAAAGAACAAGCAATGTCTGTAATCAATGATCGCATATCACCAGAAAAGAATCAAAGACATGGAGAATTAAGACATCCAGTCAAAGTCTCGGGGGGTTTCTTTTTATGACAACTCAATACCATAAGACCATTTTGATTGAAACAACTGTATCAGCGAAACACTTTATGGTATCTGATGTTTGAGCAACAACATTGAACAGATATAAGCACCCAGTAAGGTTCTAGAACAAAATCTTTAAATCCTTTCACATGAGGAAAGAAGCAAACCACAGAAAGGAATGCTTCCACAAACAACCAGCTTCAAATTCTCCTTAAGGCACCGTTTGGAGTAGGGATTTGAATCGATAAAGTTTGGTGATGATATTAATTTAGTATTGATAAGTTCCAATAAGATTTTAGATCTTGAATACCATAACAACTTCCTCAGCTGAAGGAAAGCAATCACCCAAAGGAGAAAACTAAAAGATATCCAACCATACCTCATTGAGCTTTGCTGCAAGTTCATCGAGCAATTCAATGCGACTCTTTGACTTCTCCATGGCTTGCATAATCTTCTTCTTTTGAAAAAGTAGCTCCCTGGCGTCATTCTCCTTTCTTGTTCGAACACTAATGGCTGCTTGTCGCCGAAATCTCTCTGCTGCTTCAGACAACCGAAGTAGCCTCAATCTTGCATTATTTGCTGAATAGCCAGGATTCTGATCAGTAAGAACTCAAACTGTTCAATAAATCTTATGCTGTCCATAGAATAATTGAGCAAAATAACTAAGGAAACAGAAACAGAGACGCACAGACATTATTGGATAAAAGTGATCCAAGAAGAAATTGCAAAACATAAAGGCAAATTCACCAAGTTCATGAAATCTCGCATGTAAATCCTCAAAAAAAGTAATTTGCAAAACGTAAAGGAATATTCACACCCAATAAAGAAGAAATCATTCTAAGGTACAAACTTCAACATCTTACACATCATGTTTGTAAAATCTCACATGTAAAACCTCGGATTATAATGTGCTAAAGATAAAACCAAATTCAAACAGAATCCACCACTAAATTTGACACCCAATAAAGGAGAAATCAATCATAACGCATAAACCTCACAACATCTTACACACCATGTTTGTAAAATCTCACACATAAATCCTCAAATAAGTAATCTGCAAAACATACAGGCAAATTCAAACGGAACCCACCACTAAATTCAACACCCAATAAAGGAAAAACAATCAAAGTTACAAACCTCACAATAATTCATACACCAAGTTCGCGGAATCTCACATATAACAATAACAAAATACCTAGTGTAATCCCACCAAATGGGGTCTAGGGAGAGTAGAGTGTACCTCCACGAGGTGGAGGTAGAGGAGGTTGTTTCTCGGAATGCAAATTCAAACATAACCCACCACTTCATTCGACACCCAATAAAGGAGAAATTGATCAAAGATACAAACTTCACAACACCTTGTACACCAAGCTCGCAAAATCCCACATCTAAATCCTCATATAACAATAACAAACTACCTATTGTAATCCCAATGAGGTTTGGGGAGGGAAGAGTGTACACAGACCTTACCCCTACCTCGTGGAGGTAGAGAGGTTGTTTCTCAGAATGCAAATTCAACCATAACCCACCACTAAATTCAACACCCAATAAAGGAGAAATTGATCAAAGATACAAACTTCACAACCCCTTGTACGCCAAGCTCGCAAAATCCCACATCTAAATCCTCATATAACAATAACAAACTACCTATTGTAATCCCAATGAGGTTTGGGGAGGGAAGAGTGTACACAGACCTTACCCCTACCTCGTGGAGGTAGAGAGGTTGTTTCTCAGAATGCAAATTCAACCATAACCCACCACTAAATTCCACACCTAATAAAGGAGAACTCAATTAAAGATACAAATTTCACAACATCTTATACACCAAGTTCGTAAAATCTCACATCTAAATCCTCATATAACAATAACAATATATCACGTGTAATTCCACAATATAGTCTTTGGGGAGGATACCTTACCCCTACCTCGTAAACGTAGAGAGATTGTTTCCGAAAGACAAAATTCACACACAACCCACCACTAAATTCAACACCCAATAAAGAAAAATCAATCAAATATATAAACTTCACAACAATTTACACACCAAGATCCCAAAATCTCACATATAAAATCCCCAAATAAGTGATTTTACATAAAATAAAGCCAAATCCAAACAGACCCATCAAAATTATGGAGACAAAAAAGAAATAAAACCCATTTAAGATGAGAAAAATTAGACAATAAACTACCTTTATTTCTTGTGCTTTGTGCTTCCTTATGAAGATGGTCTAGTTGTTCTCGTAGCTTCTCTGTATTTAAATTATTTGTACCAGAAGCAGCTAAATTTACCATTTTCTTCGGAATTTTCCATTGAACAAATCCAGAAAAAGCAGAATTCAGTATCATTTTTTTATCTTCTCTACTCTGTATCTTCACAAAGAGGGGAGCTGATGAAATGCAGAAAAAAATTTCTTATAACAAAATTAATATAAATAGTACAAGAAATAAACAAAAATTTGCTTTTTCTTTTTTTTTTACTTCTCAAGTACTATTTCGAATGAACCTCCCCGTGCGTGATTTGAATTTAGTCTGACTCAATAAATTTGAACACTCATGGGAAACCTCAAAAAAAAGGGTTATATACTTGCTTAACTATTTAAATTATGCTACATTCTTTAATTACATGTAAAGTGTCGAAAAATTATAAAATTTTAGGCATGTTTTGGTTAAGGAGGTTGTTATATATAATTAGATGAGATTGATTATATATTTTAGGGAAAAAGGACAAATATATAGTAAATGGTATGTAGATACCCTTCGTCATACTTTTGGGACATTGGTGTCTCTGCCGTCCAAAAACTAGATCATATATGCCCTTCACTCTAACGGAAGACTAAATAGGGACACATGGCGCAATCTTATCCGTTGATTCGATATTTAATAAATGTACGGGTCGGTGGATTAAGTATTATGACATGTTGTAATGTCCGTTAGTATAAATGGTATATATGCTCTAGTTTTTTTGACGATAGAGACACCAATGTCCCAAAAGTATGACGAATGGTACATACCATTTACCATGGTTCAAGGATATATTTATCTTTTTTCCCTATATTTTATGTGGTTGACAGACTATTTAATAGATATTTGAGAGTACAAGTAAAAAGAATTCAAAAATATGAATTAAAAGTGTCGAAGAGTAATATTTATTATGTGCTCGAATTCTCAATTGAAAAATATTATAGTTCAAGTGTTTAAAGAAGAGTCACATTCTCAAAAGACGCACTGGTCTTTTCAAGAAAGCTCAAGAACTCGAAGATCAAGTTATAATTTTTTTACCCAATTAATATTGTTTGTTTTTTTCTTTTTTAAAAAGTTACTTTTTAAAAGACAAGTTGGAGTCTTGAATTTTGAGTTTTAAAAAATCAATTAAATATATATAATTAAAAATTGATTAATAAAAAAGTATCTATTTAATAATAATAATCTACAATTAATCTCTAATTTTTAACTTTTAAATTATCAACCAATTAAATAGAATTAATTTAAGTTTTTTATTAAAGAAAAAATGTTATTGTTTAAAAAAATTGAAATGGTTCCACAGATTTATACTCACAATTACTCTGGAAAAAAAAATTAATGTCCAACGAAAAAAGAAATAAATAGTTAAAATATAAAAATGAAATTAGACAGCTATTTATTTATTTTGGTAAATAAATGATTTTATTACCAAATAGAAATTACAAAATAGAAAAGCAAGCGGGACATCCCTAGACTTGCATCAAATAACTAGCTTTCAATCTTAACTATCAAGTCTTTCACTATGGTTAGCAACATCATCAATCAAACTGCCTTACACTAAACAAGATATGCATTCAGGGATTGGAGCACCTGATCAAGTCTTGCCCATTTTCTTCCTCATAGATGCACCTCTTGAACAATCTTCCTCACCAACATTCTAGGAGTTCTGATTATTTACTTGAAGATACGTTGATTCCTCTCCTGCCACACAACATAAACACTTGCAGCCACTGTCATCCTGTACACCTTAGCTCTTGCTTGTTTGCCTTTGCAGTGAGTATTTGCCCACAACACTTCCTCATCCCATCCTCGAGCCTCTCTCTGTATATTTAACCAGTGTAAAATCTTTTGCCACACCTGAGCTGTGAACATACATTGGAAGAACAAGTGATTATGGCTTTCATCTTCAGCTTCACACAACACACACTGCACCACTTCTACGCACCCTATGCAGCCAGTCTATCCCTTGTGAGTTGCCTTTTTTGCAATGCTAAGTACAATATAAAATTCCACTTTGGGCATGCGATATTATTGCAGATTAGTCTTCTCCATTCAATCTTCTGATACTCTCCCCTCAGAGCTTTGTGCAATTTTTTGATAGAGAACTTGTCCATCTGCTTGATATACAACTCATTCCATTCAAAGTTTCAAGTTGTTGATGCATTTGTAATATTTTTCGCACCATCCAAGAAGCTTGAGGTGCTTCTACACCCCATAAGGCCCCTTGCTTCCCATAGTATTGATGCACCCATTTCACCCATAATCTATCTTTCTTAATACACCGATTCCACAACAATTTGCTTATTGCAGCCTTATTCTATAATATTTAGATTCATAGAAAATTAAATAAAAATTTAGAAGATAAAAAGATTAATATCATTGGAACATGTAGGAAATAATTTTAAAAATTTGAATAACATGCCTACAATTTGATATTGAAATGATTAAAACATTTTAATTCTATGCTTAGTATCATCATAATCATAGAATTTTTCCAAGTTATATTTTATTTTAATATAACAATTACATTTTCTTATATCTTTACAATTCTTACAGGAGGATAATATGAATAGGATGAGAGTATTTATGATTTTGAATAATTTACAAAAAAAATATTATTGTCAAATTTAGAAAATGAACTAACCTTTCATAGTGATTTATTTACATAAATATTTTATGATAACATATCAAGGTGCTAAATGTTAACATTCTCTAAAAAATAAAATAAGACATGTCATCACCAGAAATGTGATCAAATCTATCTATAATAGGCCAGACAAAAGTTAACATAATAGGAGAGGTAAAAGTGTTACCTGTCAGCATCACAAAAATCGTCAAATTTTTAGCTTTCTAAAAAATAGATATTATATATAATAGGAGAGGCAAAAGTATCACATATCAACACTCCAAAAGTCGTTAAACTTCCGATTTTTGAAGAGTATCTTTATCTATTTTTGAATTCAAGATGACAATTATATTTATATAAAATCAAAATGTTGTAATGTGTGCAAATAATTAAATATTTTTAATAGTCTCTGTGCAATGCGCGGATACATATACCAGTTGAGTTTAATAGAAGGTGTTTGCTATATGACGGGTATTGGATTGTATATTGGGAAAGTCTATTTATGTTGGGCATGCAAGTTGATTCAAGAAACCTCAAGAACTCGAACTAGTTTAATTTTGATATCAAGTTAAATTAGATTACTAAATCATTTATTACTATGATTTTTGTTCGATAAATCGAGGATATATCGAAGTCGTTTTTATGCTATAAACATAGTAGAAGATTTTGTTAGTTTTGTTGCAAAGTGGAACTTGCCAAAGTGGGAGTTTTAGGGGAAAAAACTACTTTGAGATTTGAAATTTATATATTTTAACGAGTAATAATAATTCGATCTTTTATTTGCCATTGAACTCATAATCTATTTATGTTAATGAGTTTGGTGTTTCTTGTATGTATGTATATATGTATTTGGTGAGTTTCATAGTACATATACAAAGTTTAAACAAAAAATATTAAATTCTTCCGTTAGGTTACATAATAATATATTTATTATAGATAACTAAATCTACATAACTTTGTTTAACATGACGAATAATGATAATTATGCATTTTTTAAGCATAGGAACATTATTAAAATGACTTCATTTCTTTTTCCCAAATTCTTATTCTACTAATAATGATAAAATTATTTAATTATTTGAGCAAATCTTACTTATAGAATTATTTTATTTTATTCTTATTTCACGAAATATCCTTCTCTATTAGTTTCTTTATAACTTATTCAATTGATAATTCATTATAAAATAACAAATGTTAATAGTAGATTACATAACAAAATATATTGACTTAAATAGAAAAACTCTCTAAAATTACTTATACAATTCTTTTTTGTGTGGAACCGTTATCTCCCACTTTTCTTACTTTATTTTTTGGGCTTCAAATTCTATAATTCATAAGCTCTTCATATTTAAAAATAGATGACTAAAGAACAAATTTCGAAGTTAACTAAAAAGACGATTGATTAACTTGAAAATAAAAAAAAACCGATTAACAAATACAATAATATCCATGTTCATGATTAATAGTATTTCATTACTTACTTTTCTAAATTACAATAACTATAACATATTTCGTATAACTTCATAAATTTTTTTTAAAAAAAATAACATATACACGGATTTTATAACTACCCTCTCAGAGAATAAAATAACTCCTCCATTTAGAACTTGTTTAAGAAAATGTGGAAAACAGACCCAAATTCTCACTCAGTTCAAAACGATCAGAAGTATAAGTAAAATCCAGAAAAGCCACCATTTTGTTACATCGCCGGTGGCCGGAATCAATGGCATCTCCGACGATTCAGAGATCAACCCATTTATCATCTACACCCACATCTTCTTCATCTCCCCTTCAACGTCTCTCAACTTTCAAAGACAGATCCATCAATCCCACCCCTACTGCTACCGTTACTCCTACTCCAACCTCCGGCCTTACCCCATTCACACCTGCCTCTTCCCCTCTCGATTCCTTCACTTCCGATCCCATTTTCTCGTCCTTCCTATCCTCTGACTTTGATTCCACACGTTTCTCCTCCGCCGCACTTTCCTCCGGTTCTACCGCTTCACGTATCGAGAAGCTTCAAGAAGGTCTCCGTCTCCTTGACCATCAGCTTCGTCATGAAGTGCTTACACGTCATCATGATTTGCTCAATCAGCTTACTTCCTTACGTGCTGCTGAATCTGCACTTTCGACTCTTCGTTCGTCGGTTTCGTCTCTTCAGTCATCGCTCCGTCGGGTCCGTTCTGAACTCTCTGATCCTCATCAAGTAATTGAAGCGAAGACACTTCAGCTTTCGAATCTTCATTCAGCTACTGAGCTTCTTCAGTCGACAATTAGGACTATTCGGTTGTCTAAAAAGCTCAGGGATCTCATGGATTCGACTCAAGACCAGGAGAAATTGGATCTTTCGAAAGCTGCTCAGCTACATTTTGAGATACTATCGCTTTATAATGAGTACCATTTAGCCGGGATTGATGTGGTTGATTTGGAACTCAAGTGGGTTCTTGAAATTGGGCAAAAATTACGGGCTGAAGGGATGAAGGTTTTGGAAAAAGGACTTGAAGGTTTGAATCAAGCTGAAGTTGGGGCTGG